TCTTGCGTAATGTAAATAAGCTATATATATACATAATATTGTAACAATTTTGTCATTCCCAAAGTAAACCGGGCACTCCATCTGTTGCAACGTAATAACCCACATGTTTAGAAAATACGAGCATCTCCTTCACGGCAACTAATACCATTCAAAAGAGTCCTTACTGAGAACTTGATAGTCGCAAAGTTAGTTGAAGGTTCATAAGCCTACTCTGTCCATAACAGCTCAAGACTTGTTCCTATGCTGCGCCAGATTAATCTAGTTCACATCCACCCACTCTACTTCTTCGAGATCCATTTTAATATTATCCTCACAACAGCGCTAAAGTCTTCCAAGTGGTTTCTTCGTTGCAAGTTTCCCAGTAAAATTGTATATGCGTTCCTTATCGTTCTAACACTATATGCTTTTCCCATCTCATTTTCTTCCACCTGATGAAGTATATAAATTCGTGATTGTTAGTTTACAGAAATATTTCCTAGTCGTTCAAGTCTCTGTTACAGATGCGACCGCCTCTGTGATCTAGTCGTCAGAGTTCCTGGCTACAGATTCTGAGGTTCCGGTTTCGATTCCCGGCGTTACCAGATTTTCTGAGAAGTAGTGCGTCTGGAATGGGGTCCACTCAGCCTCGTGAGGATAGCTGAGGATCTAATTGAATGGAAGAGTAGCGGATCCGTCAAGAAAACTGAAATTAACGGCTGTTGGGATCCATTGCGCTGATCACGCGACACCCTCTGTCCGCTAAAGTTGAAACTAACTTCACCGACAAGCAGCGGTCGCTCGGTCGGTATAGTTCGTTTGCCGACTAAAACCACGGAGTTTGTTTGTTACAGATGTGCTTGTAGGTGTAGATGCTGGTAGACGCAGACTCGCTCTAACCAGACGTTGCAGTATAACAATTAGCAAACGCAATTCATATTCAGAAAATTCCATATTATGATCCATGCAAGAAATTTGTGTATGGTGATTTATGTCACTGCTCCCTCTGTCTTTATAATTTCATAATCATCTTATTTTTGGACACTCTGCAGCCTATGCACCTAAATAGCTACAATACAAAAACTTTATACGGCTTTTTCATCTCGCCCTTTGGTGTTTCGAATCAGGCGTGTCATTTTGGAAAGCACCGATCGACGACAATCTAAGTCTGAACGAAATTGAAATATTGGTGCTTTTTTCGACATAGGTCCTAAGTGACAGTAACTGCAAAATAAGGGAATATCCACACTTGATGTCCTGTAGTGGCTTTTCTAGTTAAAGTTCCTACTTTTGCCTTAGAGGGAAGATTAATCTACATATTGTCCCTTATAAGGGGTAGGCGTGACGAATAATTGTGGGTTCTAAATTTGGTGATCGGATTTATTGATACTTCTTTTCAATTACATTTTATTATAACTGCTCACACATTGGACTCCCTCCTAACGACACATGTCTGGTTTTCTTTCAAATCAAAGTCACATTGCGACTGGCGGTCAGTCAGCCAGTAAGTCTTGGTGTCGAGCCCCATCTGGGACTCATGACAAGATGTTTATTACTGTTTGACAATTGCGGTCTCGTTTTTGTGGGGCGTCCTATATGACGAGAGGATTGATCTGTCTTTTGTATATGCTGCTGGTCCTTGCCAGTGCAGTCTGTCTTGGGTCCGAGTCCCTTGGGACTCGCGACCTTTACTTTCTAAGAATTGAGACTTCCTTTCGTCACCTCCTATGACAAGCAGAGTCACGGTGGCAATCACGGCCTTTTATAAAATGCCGGAGAACCTAATAGAGATCACGCCTCAAATGGTTCCATTACTGCTGTTCATGTCTGCGTTATGCAGGATGCGCCTCTAATACAGTGGTAACGAAATCCGTTGTCCAGCAAAGGACGTCTATTCTCGTTGACAGCTTAACGCTCGAGAAAGCGTTTAGTTAACCGTTGTCTAGCAATGCGTCACAATATGAACAACACATACATCGATACATATAACCCCACATTCGAAATACTATACGAAATTTACCCTAGATAACAGCACATCCCCACCCCCTTACCTTAAAAAAAGGTGAACTTACTTACTTACTTGCTTACTCACTCATGGAGCTGGCCGCCCCATAGCTCAAGCGGTTAGTCGCTGGCTTCCCACCGCGGAGGCCCGGGTTCGATCCCGGGTCTGGTCAAGTAGGATTTGTGGTGGACAAAGTAGCGCTGGGGCAGGTTTTCTCCGAGTACTTCGGTTTCTCCTGCCAATATTCATTCTACAAATTGCTCCACAATCACCCTCACCTATCATCTGGGGCTGGCACAATAAGCCAGAAATGGCCGCAGTACAAGGGACTTAGTCCCACCCCACTAGCAATAAAAAGAAACTACGCTGAAACATGTTGCCCAAGAGGGTGTGTAGGATAGAAGTTAAGGATGAACACGTTGCATTTTGAAGTTGAACACTCCTACCCACTAAAGATCACTAGCAGTAGAACATGAGGCCGAAGTGGAATAATCAGATGCTCACTTCTTTGTAATATTTCTTTCGCGTTAATATACTATGATAGGAAATAACTGATAGTCACAACTGCAACAGTTATTTCTGTTTCCATCTCTCAGGAAAATTAGAAGTGGTGCCGAAAGCGACAGGGGATATGTACAGAACAATAATCCAGTCAAAACGGCCCTGCTGAATGAAGAACATCCACCAATTAAAATCTGAGAGAATTTCGGATCAGTATTCGTAAAAGAATGAGTTTTCTTATGGTCGGGTTTGAAGTCATTCTATTGTTATTTTGCGGAGGAAATATTGCCTATTACACGCTATTAGTGCCCTTCATGCAACCAAGACAGAACAGCGACTGTAATTCTCATCCTAAATATCAAGCACTTGACCTCGCCACTAGCTGAACACAGTGGTCAACTTCAGGACCCTGTTTCTTTACCCCATACTAGGAACCGTCAGCACCGAAAACAGATCAGCTTTCATAGCTATATAGAAGTAACGTTTACAGTAAAGTAAGTAAAGGTAAAAGTAAAGCTATCCCTGTAACAGGCCATAGAGGCCCATAGGGTTGTGAGACAACGAAACTCTCACAATATCTAGAAAATCGGCTCACAGATGGCGCTAAGGTTGTCAGCCTTAAGCGCAGGCCGCGCTTTTCTCCCAGGAATATTCCTGGTACTCATTTATGTTAGAGGCTGAGTCGATCCCAAGGCCATAGTGCGGCTGGAAGGATTAGGTCAATTGAAAAAATCCACCTCATTCGGGATTCGATCCCGCGACCTTCCGGCTTGTAGCATAATGCCTCAACCAACTACGCTACCGGGTACTGAGCAAGCATAAAACCAATCTTGACGCTGTGGCAAAGGGAAAGATTTTTGTCCATTCTGGGACTCGACATCCAGTTGTCAAAATGTATATTAATTTTCCGGAAACCCTTTGTTCAAGATATCTGGAACTGATAGACACCTAACAGAACACGAAGCTGGAGGTGAGGTTGTTAGCCTTAAGCGCCAGCCGCCCTCTACCCACAGGAATATTCCTGGTACTAATTTCTGTCAGAGGCTGAGTCGACCCCAAAGTTATAGTGCGACTGGAAGGATTAGATCAATTGAAAAATGCAATGACCTTATCGGGAATCGAACCCGCGACCTTCCTGCTTGTAGCATAGTGCCTCAACCAACTACTCTACCTCGTGCCCCTTACTATGGGACAAAATCTTATATCGTAAGTTATGTATATTTCTTTCACAAAGTCAATAAAAAGTCCGTCGAGTGTAACAATTTATAGGTCACTTCTTTATCACTTCTGCCTTACATGTTTCGGTTTAATAAAACCATCATCAGAGGCACATAGTACAAACATGAAAACACTGCCGTTGTTTAAGATGTACACAGTTATGTTTGCTGCGTGAACGCTGCTACAATACGTCGACGTGTAAAAGCACAACACTTGTTAGAATTGTTGAATGCACGTTCAATTCTCACATTCATCCGAAACTGCCCTCAAGTTAAAACGCCAATGTTAAAATATTTAAAATTTAAAACATTTGAAGTAAAATGTTAAGCTCCTCCTTGTTAATTCGTCCCGAAGATGGGAGATGTCAGCTTGAGGATGTATGGCTGCAAAGATATTGTATTACATTAGGTTTTATATACACGTCGACGTATTGTAGCAGCGTTCACGCAGCAAACATAACTGTGTACATCTTAAACAACGGCAGTGTTTTCATGTTTGTACTATGTGCCTCTGATGATGGTTTTATCAAACCGAAACATGTAAGGCAGAAGTGATAAAGAAGTGACCTATAAATTGTTACACTCGACGGACGTTTTATTGACTTTGTGATTGATAGTGTAACGGACCAAAAATGAAACAATTCAAAATATATTTCTTTTATTTGACTAAAACCGTAACCTGAAAATGTTTATTTATGTATCATTACTGCACTGTGTATACTTAAATGAAAGAAATTTGCGGTAACAATGCTGAAAACGATAGCTTCTCGAACTATGCCCTTGTAGCCCACATCCCCATACATTTTTGCAGTCATTCAAAAGAACTGAGGAAAACCACAAAAAAAGGGCTAAAACCAGGATTTGCAGTAGTCCTACGTTCCAGTTACAGATTCAAGTAAATCGCAGTGTAAGTAGCACTTACCGTATTTACGCATGTATAGGCCGAGTGCGTGTATATGCCGCAGCACAATTTTCAGACAGAAATTATAGAAAAAATAATTTTCTTGGAATATTATTTCAGGAGTATTACACCCTGTATTACTAATTATGAATATAATGTTTTTTTAAATGAAGTGTGATTTCGAATATTTCGAATATAAGCAGCACCCCAGTTTTCCTCTTGAATTTTTGGCAAAAAATGTGCGGCCTATGCATGCGTAAATACGGTATTTTCATGCAATAGATGCAGGACCGCAGAGCGGTATGTAGAGATGTAGAGTAACACTTACGTGCCTGCCATCTTGTGTGTGAAGGGAGTACTACATATTCGTAATCTGCGTACCTCGTCTTACACAGTTGACAGCAGTGGTGACAATTTGCTATATAGGACGTGTATGCTGCCAACTTGAAACACTAAATACTAGAAACTATCGAAAAGTTATAAATATGAAATATATAGGATAAGACTGACTTGTCAGTAATTTTTGTGATAAGATAAATGCATGTTTGTGTGAACTGCACTGTTACTAATATCACTTTAAAGCTAATCTAGGTATTACGAAACAGCATAACCTTTAAACTGTGTCGCAGGTGTATTTCTTGCCAGTATTAAGGAGCCGTATCTGAAAAACAATATTACATTTTAAGACACAACTGTGAAAATAATATATATAAAAATATTGAAATGCCACTTAAATTTTGTGCTAACCTATCATTTATGTTCCAAGAGACGACTTCACTTCTAGAACGGTATCAGCTTGCAAAGGATGTGGGTTTTCGAGCCGTAGAATGTGCATTTCCGTATGTACATACAGTCGATGAAGTTGTTGCTGCACAGAAGAAGGCAAATGTGGAACAGATTTTAATAAATGCTTTTGTAGGTAAGCATATTTGTAACCTAACAGAACAGTGTTTGTGAAATGTAAGTATTATGATAAAATATTTGGCCCTTTACTTAACTAATTAATCAATGCATCATGAAGGCGTAAGGGCGAGTGGTTCGAATGGGGTTAATGCCGTTGGTATAACGACTGGCTACGGGCTGGACGACAAGAGGGATCGGAGTTCGAGTCCCGGCAGGCTCAAGCATTTCCTCTTCATGTCATCCAGACCGGTTCTGGGGCCCCCCCAACCTCATCTATTGGGTACCATAGGGGCTCTTTCCCCGGCGGTAAAGCGGCCAGGGCGCAAAGCTTACCACTCACCTCCAACTAGTGCTGAGGTCAAGATAATGTGGATCTATACAAATATTATGATAGAGTCTTTAATTTGTTAATGGAAGTTGCATTCATAGATCCATGGGTAGTGCATACAAAGATTCTAAATTTATCTCTCTAACATTGAACAGGCTTCATAACGTATGATCTATGTGGACATATGATCTTGTGGACAGCATAGAAGCCTTCCACCTGTCAGGCATTGAGTTGTTGCGTGATTGTTGTGTGAATTTTTTTGAGAAAGCAGCTGTGGAGCAGATTTAATAAATACTTTGCTAGTTTTCCTGCTGTTTAATTCACCATCCTTCCCAGCATTTATTGATACTAAGTTACATACTAAGTGGCACCAATAATAGATGTAGCATCATCAAATAACTGAGAGTGTCACAGGCCAGCAGACAGTTTTATTATGTGGGTTTACACATTACTTACATTTTCAGGTGATGTCACTAAAGGTGAACTGGGATTTGCATCGATTCCTGGAGCTGAAGAGAAATTCAATGATAGCCTTAACCTAGCAGTGAAATATGCAAAAGCACTAAAATGTTCCAGGTATGTATGACATAATTAGGGAAATCAACATTCACGTATGCTTTCGGGCAGTTATTCCCAAACTGTGTTGCAAGGAATTCGTTTGATCCATGTGGCATTCTCAGGAGTTCTGCAGATTGCAGATATTCTTTCTAATTGTTGAGCCAACTAATGATCTCCATGCAGCTGAACGCTTCTTGAGAAGCCACCAGACACTCAGCTACTCAGAATTTTACAACACTATGGAACCTGAAGGTTCATTCCTGTGTTCCCTATTGTGAGCCAGGTCACTCCAGTCATACCATCCCATCCTGTCCCACTAAGATCCATTTTAATATTGTCCACCCACCTATGCCTTAGTCTTCCCAGTGGTCTCTTTCCTTCTGGTTTTCCCACCAATATCCTACATGCATTCTTTGTCTCCCCATTCCCGCTACATGCCCTGCCCACCTCATCCTCCTTGACATGATCATTCTAATTATACTTGGAGAAGAGTACAAGTTATGAAGCTCCTCATTATGCAGTTTTCTCCAACCTCCTGTCATTTCATCCCTCTTTGATCCAAGTATTCTCCTCAACACCCTGTTCTGAAACACCCTCAGTCTGTGTTCCTCCCTTAATATCAGAGACAAAGTTTCACACCCATACATAACCACAAGCAAAATTAAAGTTTTTAATATTCTGATTTATGATTTTTACAGCAGATGAGAAGACAGAATGATCTGGATAGAACAGTAGCAAGCATTACCTGAATTTGGTCACCTCTTAATTTCCTCTTGAATCAAATATTGATTTTTTACTGTTGATCCCAGATATCTGAACTGTGCCACATTTTCAAATGAAATTTTGGTATATTTTAATGTTATTTATCAGCAGTGCAGATTAAAGCATTCACTACTCATAGATCTTGACACAGCTGTCACTAAATTTTCATATAGAAAGAAAACTGCTAATGGAAGTTTTATTCCCTAATATGACTGATGAATCATTCGGTCCAGTAACTTCCATCCTCCTGTGTCTAGTCAAGTTGGATTTGTGGTGGACAAAGTGGCGCTGGGGCAGGTTTTCTCTGAGTACTTTGGTTTCCCCTGCCAATCTTCATTCTACCAATTGCTCCACAATCACCCTCACCTATCATCTGGGACTGATACAATAGGCCAGAAGTCGCCACAGTACAAGGGACTTAGTCCGACCCCACTAGCAATAAAAAAAAACTTCCAACCTGCATTATTCTGCTAACATTGACCTTAAAATGTCAGAATACTGGTACCGTATAAGGAACCTCATCGAAATCTGTATTTTTCTTCTGAAATATTTCTCCTTACATGTCCCTTTCACTTCTTAATCACAGTTGGCCTGATCCTTCCCCAAGCAGCTAATCCTTTACCTGATATTTCAGAAAGGAAGGGAAGCTAAATGAATTAGGTGCCTGAGCTAAGCAACTGGAATAGAGTATACATGATAATAACAGTTTTAAAAGGCCATGCCATAGCTCAGGTTGTTAGTCACTGGCTGTTAGGTCCCTCTGCCAGAATAACAAAGGATCTGTTGGAATTAAACAGAGACCAATTAAGATGGGCAAGAGGACTACTTACTGGACACTGCCACATAAAAGGACACCTTTTCAAGCTGGGATTGACAGATAATCCAACTTGTGAATGGTGCCTGATAGAAGACGAATCAGCCACACACATTCTATGCAACTGTGAGGCCATAGCTCATTTAAGATTTTGTTACTTGGCCAAGTTCTTCATGGAACCAAGTGACCACTATGAAGCCCCCATAAATGAAGTCCTGCATTTCATTCAAAATGTAGGAATTAATAAGTGGTTAATTAAAGGGAAAGCACAATGGATCATTGTTAGTCATGGTGCAGGGACCGAATTGTGGCCCACCCCTCATACATACATACATACATACGTACATAGTTAGGCCGTGCCATAGCTCAAGCGGTTAGTAACTGGCTTCCCACCGCAGTGGCCCGGTTTTGATCCCGGGTCTGGTCAAGTGGGATTTGTGGTGGAGAAAGTGGCACTGGGGCAGGTTTTCTCTGAGTACTTCGGTTTCCCCTGCCAATCTTCATTCCGCCAATTGCTCCACAATCACCCTCACCTGTCATCTTGGGCTGGTACAATAGGCCAGAAGTGACCGCAGTACAAGGGACCTAGTCCCACCCCACTAGCATTAAAAAAGAAAATTACATACATAGTTGCCAGCTTCCCACCGTAGTGGCATGGGTTCAAGCCCAGGTCAGGTCGTGTGGGATTTGTGGTGGACAAAGTGGCACTGGGGCAGGTTTTCTCTCTGTACTTCAGGTTCCCCTACCAATTGTCATTCCACTAACTGCTCCACATTCATCATCATATGTCATCCGGGGCAGGGACAATAGGCCAGTTAGTGGCGGCGTACCAAGTGGACTCAGTGTCATCCCACCCCAAGAAACTAATAAAAAACGGTTTTATAAAAGAAATCAGTGCAGCACCTCTCACATCACTATTTTGTGAATACAGAAATACATCATTATGCTTATTTTTTCACTGATTTTGAGAAACATTCATAACTTCCACCTACCCTCATCAACTTTATCAGTATATCAAAAAGGAGTCCACTTTACTGGCATAAAAGTGTTCAACAATCTGCCACAAAGTATTAAAAACTTGGGCAATGATANGACAGGTCCACAGCCTCTTCCAAAACAGTTTCTCCACTTAATGCGATCTTCTGTTTTTGGAAAGAGACTATCCAGGAAAAGTGATAATGTGGTAGTTTTTCCATTTGCTTTCCACATCGCAGTACAACAGCCGTTCAAACCACTCTGGTCACGCCTGTTGCTATACGAACTTGAACCATCTCGAGCATTATTTTCTCTGTGCTTCAAGTCGCCGCTGATGACGCTGCTTCCGGCATCAGTTTTCGGTGTCTCTCTTCGTCTGATGCCTACCCTTTGACCTGTCCAGCAAGGGAAGCCCTGCCAGTAGCTACGCTACCGCTGGTATAGCTCTCAGGGTCCTTGGCATACTCAAACACCCTCACCACGATAAGGTGACACCAACGAGGGGACTTAGGATTTATAGAATGTAAATAAATTCAATTCAATTCAATTCAATTCTGAGAAGTTTGCCAACCACACTAGACTAATGAATACTACTGCTATATGTATACTGGTTTTAGTGTTTCATTTCTGAGGCTCATTGTCTTAACTGAAAGTTCCGTTCTGTGTTTTGGAGGTAAATAAGTGGATAAAATTGTTGTGCATGGCTGCCACATTTCTAATCCTTAGCAGTTCCATTTCATAAGAAGCTTAACATGATGTAGCTGAGTGTGATTGCTACAGGATGTACCAATTTTCAGACTCTTAGTTATATATTACCCATGATAAGGCCAGAAATATCCATGGCTCCAGAAATGGCACTTAAATCTGTAAACGGTAAAGTTATCCCTATGCTTAATGACTTATATGTTATGCCATGAAGGCGTATTGGGGAATACATGTGTATACCCACGTTTTCTTGACCTCAGCACTAACTGGAGGTGAGTGGTCAGCTTTATGCCCAGCCACTTTACTACTAGGAAAGAGCTTCCCGTACCCATTAGATAAGAGGTTGGGTGGGCCCTGAAGCTGGCCTGGATGAGAAAATTCTTTACCCTACCAGGACTTGAACTCCAGCCCGCAGCCAGTCACTGTACTGACTACACTATCCCAGCTCCACTTAAATCTGTAGGTTATATAAAATAAATCATTCCCCTGTTGTTGTACATGAGGGTATATATGCCAACAGTACCTGTTAACTCATCCATGGCAAGCAAATGAATCTACTAATGGAGCCCTGGGCATATATAAATATTTCTTAAGGCTTGAAGTGTTGTATTATTTTATAAAGTTTTAATTCACCTCTGTTTTTCAAGGGTCCATGTAATGTCTGGTGCTGTGGAGAAAGTGAATGAAGAAAATGTGAAAACATATGAGAAGAACATAAAGCATGCAGCATCTTTATTTGAAAAAGAGAATATTATTGGATTAATAGAACCGATCAATCCTTTCTCAGTTCCTAAGTACTACATGAATGACTTTCAGAAAGGTACTTTGTAATACTGTAATATAGAACACAGTTTAATGGGATGAAAAGCATTTCAGAACCTTGAATATGAGCTAAATATTTTAGTTGCTAGGTATAAAATGTTCGTATTTCCGTTGCAGAAATACGGTTTATGCCTACATCTCATCTAGTAGACAAATTTTTTTTTAGTAAATGTACTCTTCAGTTTTAATAACATCACTGTTTTGGTACCTGCAGTATCCAAAGAAGGGTTCATTGCATCTCATGTCGTGTCAGGTTTTGAATGGTTCGTCAGTTCTGATATTGAAAATGTATTGTATATTGTGCAGTCGCCATGCTCTTGCTTTTATTTTTAAACATGACATCCATAAATAAATCATATATGTAGAGTTTTTAATATTTCAGTGTTTTGTCTTAACTCTTGCAGATGGTTTGTACGATGGGGTACCCAAAAGAAACCGAACTATTTTTTTTGTGGGCAGAGCTTTTGTAGTACCGCGTTTTGCCGCTATGAGCGCATAGAACTAACATTCCTGAGTCGATAAGCCGACTGCCGTTGTTTCAGAAGGTAAGGACTAGTTTCGGCGGAGTTTATAGTGACAACTGTTTTGTGTGATCGTCATTTTTGCAATGGCTGATTTTCGTGAACAGCGTGCGGCGGTGAAATTCTGCTTTTTGCTCGGGAAAAGTGAAACAGAAACTCCTGAAATGTTAAAAACAGCATACAAGGACGATGCTATGAGGAAAACTCAAGTGTTTGAGTGGTTTTCCCATTTCAAAAATGGTGAAATGTCAATTGATGACAAACATCATTCTGGTCGTCCTTCCACGGCCCGAACACATGAAAATATTGAAAAAATTCGTGAAATCATCAAGGAAGATCGACGACGGACCATTGAAGAAATTGTGGAGCTGTCGGGAGTGACTTGGAGCTCAGCGGCCAGATTTGTGGCAGTCGGGTGACTGGTTTTTCCATCATGACAATGCCCCTGCTCACACAGCCCTGTCTGTATGACAATTCTTGACCAAAAATGGTATGACCCCTGTTCCTCACCCTCCATACTCACCCAACCTTGCCCCGTGCGACTTTTTTTTTGTTTCCTCGAATGAAAAGAGACATGAAAGGAAAAAACGATGGAGGCGCTGTCAGGCATCTCAAAAGATGAATTTAGACAATGTTTTGAAAAATGGAATAAAAGACTAGGTAAGTGGAGAGTACTTTGAAGGGGATTGAAGGTTTGTGCTTAAAATTTGAATAAATAAGTTTAAAAAAAAATAAGTTCGGTTTCTTTTGGGTACCCCCTCGTAGTCCGGAGATAGGGACTAGCTCTATCGATTGGGCCCAACTGAGTAGGTTTTCCTGAAGACAGAGACAATCCAGTCTCCAAAACATTGTGTTTTAAATAGAAGCAGGATGATGGATAATGCTGAGAAACTTAATATTTTTATAAATAAATCTGCTTGTTTTGAAAAACATCTGCCATCACAGAATTTTTGGGAAACTGACTGGCATTCTATCACCTCAAAAGACTGATACTACTATCTCAGTGCTATTAAAGATGGGAATAAATAGAACATGAACTTCACATCACATTTGGTTAGAATGTTTATGAGATTAATGTTTAGTTGCTTTTATATTTTTTTGTTTTCGAGAATTTTGATTTTTTTTTACTTGAGCATTATTTTTTTTTATTGCTAGTGGGGTGGGACTAAGTCCCTTGCACTGCAGCCACTTCTGGCCTATTGTACCAGGCCCAGATGATAGGGGAGGGTGATTGTGGAGAATTTGGTGGAATGAAGATTGGCAGGGGAAACCGAAGTACTCTGAGAAAACCTGCCCCAGCGCCACTTTGTCCACCACAAATCCCACTTGACCAGACCCGGGATCGAACCCGGGCCGCCGCAGTGGGAAGCCAGCGACTAACTGCTTGAGCTATGATGCGGCCTTATTTGAGCATTAGTAACTCCTTTGTGAACATTATATGCATATATTTTTACTTTTTTTTTTCCTAAGTTTATGCAAATTATTTCTATTTTTGAATTCTTATGTGAATGTTTCTTAAGAAATAAGATTCTGTGACTTGTATGTGTTGTCTGCCTGACTTTCCTTAGAGATGAGTTGATTTTACTAGTCATTCCCAGTTTTGTTCAGTCTGGTTGGGTGCAAGATAGGTAGGCTACAACTTCCTTAAACAGTTATGAAGTTTTCCATATAATCCATGCTCCTTAGTACCTTCAGAAGTCCTTGACTGCACTGTTTCTTTCCCTTCCTGCTTCATCTTTTGCAGTTATCTTGTTGCTTCAAGCTACGTAACTAGTGAAGTTGATAACCTTTCATTAAATAAACTGAGAATAAGAACTGTGTGTCATGAACATATAAAAATGTTCATTATTTCTTCATTCTTAACATGTCTCATTGTTCCCACTACTCCTCAGGTCTCAAGGTAGTGAAAAAAGTTAACAGTCCAAACTTGAAGCTTATGTTGGACATGTTCCATTTGCAGCACTTACATGGAAACCTGACTCTCAACATCAAGGAGTTGCTGCCTTATGTTGGTGAGTTTGTACAGCCCTGCAGTTATAGTTTGAACACAGGGCTATATTTAGTGCAGTTTCTAGGAAACAAATTCTTTGTCTCAGAGGACATATAGGAAAAGTTAAGTTTTGAAACTTTAATGTCCAGTAAGTTCATGAAAACATTCATGGGTGATCAGCGATGTCTTTGCTGAGTTAAATGGCTACTGTATTGTTATCAGCATTCATGTGGGGTATGACTTGTAAGTCTCTGAGATACACAGGGTGTAAATAAATATATGTTACAGCACTCTGTGGTAGATAGATTGGTTCAATCTGATCATATTTTGTTAATGCACCTATGTCTGAAAACTCTTTGTTTACGTGCTAGGGCCTCTGAAATGTGAAAGAGGACCTTTACCAAGGAGGGCATTTTCAACTCCAGAAACAGCCATGTATGGGCTCAAGAAAATCCTAATGCGAAGCATATCTGAAGCCACCAACACCGCTTCGCCATCAGCGTGTGGGCAGGTGTTATCAGTGACCATCTAATCGGACCTTACCTCTTTCCTCTGCGGCCTGCTGGTGACATTTACCTAACATTTCTCCAAGAGACCTTACCAGAGCTGATGAAATTTTGAGCAACTTTTATAACGTAAAACAACGATAATATCCCTTAAAATTTGTGGATCCTCTTGGAAATTTTTTGGTCCTTAGTGCCAGAAGGAAGTGTTTCTGGGCATGGGTATATTAACAAAATATGATCAGATTGAACCCATGCGTCTACCACAGAATGTCGTAACATATATTTATTTACACTCTATATATATATATATATGTGTGTGTGTGTGTGTGTGTGTGTGTGTGTGTGTGTGTGTGTATTGATCGCTGTTGATGTGTTGGCTAACGAGAGTAATGAGAAGCTGAGCAGTGTTTTTTTCCTTATTGATGTGCTAGGTGACAGGAGAGCACTATCAGGTGGACTGGTCCTATCTCTTGCCGTAGACCTGGTTCTGCCAGATTTCTCAGCTGTTTAAAATACAGTAATGAAATAGTACCATCAAGTACTGAACAGAGTTATTTATATTTTTGTATTTCATTCATGTTTCTTTGAATCATCTTTCTGTTTCTTAACACTTCTTAATAAGTCAATCATAGTGTATTACATACATTGCCAGTCACGGTAGCCGAGCGGTCTAAGGCATGAACTGTCTTCGCTCGCTCAGAAGCCAGGATCGTTGGTTCGAATCCCACACAAGGCATGGATGTTTGGTGTGTGTATGCATTTATTCTGTGTTTGTGTTGTCCTGTGTTTAGGTAGAGACCTTGCGACGAGCTGATCACCCGTCCAAGGAGTCCTACCATCTGTATAAATGATCAGTGAAACTGAGAAATCAGCGCTGTGCTCCAAAGTGGGAGCAAGAAGGGAAAAAGAATTACATACATTAGTCCAGAGAAGGTGATGCAAACCAACAACAAGAGTTATTTTGCATTTCACTTGTAAAATTTTTTAAAATTATATTTGTAGGTCACATCCAAGTGGCACAAGTGCCAGATCGTCATGAACCCAATACTAGTGGAGAAATTGACTATCGATACATCTTTTCTCTACTAGAACAGTTAGAATATGATGGCTGGATTGGACTTGAATACAGGCCAGCAGGAGGCACAAAGGAAGGACTTAAATGGGTTGAAGAGTTCAACATGAAACTATAAAATTCAAACATTCACTGTTTACTTTATGTTATAACGTATTAAGGCACAAATATTATGTCCAGTTCAGTTCTCACCGAAATCAAATTTATGATGCATAATGTAATTTTCTTGTAGGATCTGCAGCATCTCATAATTTTTCTCCAATTGCAAAGGATATCTTGGACTTGCAGTAGGTGCACAGAAACATGGTTGTAATCAAAAGCACTCAAGCTCAAAACGGGTTACATGTTAGAATATAATATATGTGCTTTAAACGGGTGGTATATACTTAAAGGGTAGGGTTATCAGTGTGAATTTAACAACTTTTGTCTGTGTTCTCACAGTGGTGGTTTAAAAGGGTACTATCTTTTGGGATATAATGCTGTGTAGTTGAGTGAAAGTCAGCTGTCATTTTGGAGAACAAATCATAGGCAAAAAGCTTCATGCTTGTTTCTTGCCTGGCTTACCCCTTGACATTAAAGGTGGAGACAATATGGTTTTCCAAGATGTTGACTTTCACCACACTAGGAGGCGTTATGTCTCAGAGGATAGATATTTTCAGGTTTTGCATATCATAATGAACACAATATTGTGATTAAATATTCATGTTATTCCAGAATACATCTTATTTATCGTTTGTTTCTTACATTCTGATGTCTAAAGTTTGTTACCCCCACAAAAGAGAAAACTAAGTAGGCTGTATATGTTCACGCATGTGTGTGTGTGGGTTTTTTGCGTTTGTGTGTCCCCCTCCCCCCATGTTCCCATGGAGGGGGTGTCAAAGACTGCTGATTTCCTGTGTACAGTTGTGATCAAACTTCATGGTTCAGAGCAACAGTAGTCTGTCTTCCAATGTAAGATCCTTTCAGCATTCAGAATATGCAATGTGTTTATACTGATGAGAACTCCTGAAAGTTTTTTCTGTAACTAGACTTATATGCCAAAACATATGTACCCCTTGTATATTTCTTTCTATATAAGAGTAAATAAAAAAATGTTATTTCCATCTCTATTTATAGAGACTATGATGAAGAGGTAAATTAACTCACATCCCTTCCTGACCTCCCTGTTTCAAATTTCAACACGTCAGTAATTTTTAAAACATGAAAATTTAAATGTTGTTATCCATGTCTTTTGTCCTTTATGGTCTCTTATGTGGCATTAGTATATGTGTTTGTGTGCTTGCAGTGTTTTAGCTCACAGAAGACAGTTGGGTTACTCTGTGTCTGACAGAGTATTACATTTTGATAACATGTACATACTTTCATTTGTAAAAGTCTTAAAGCCAGTGAGTGTATGTATGCTTCTGATCTTTGTTTTCTTGCACATACAGAAGATGCAGAACTCAAGGAAAATATTGAAGTTCCATAGATTGTAGCATGTCCCTGTTTCAATGTAAAAGAGAGGGAGAAATGAAAGGGGGAAAGAATGACAGTGAGATTGACAATTAGAAAGAGAGGGAAGAGAGCTACCACAGGAAATATGAAAGAAGATAAAGACACAGAGAGAAGAAAGGGCTAAAGAAGGAAAATCCAGAAACTTTCTCCCAAGTGACTAAATCTACATGTTCACTAAGTCACTATCAGGTGACAGGACTTTGTAGTCATTAAATATTATTTTGTATACAAATTCAGGGACATTCTGTTGAATTTTAAACTGCCTTTACGCAGCAGTGTTAATTGTAAACAATGTTGAATAGGACTTTACTTATCCCAACTGAGCCACCGCCATGGATGTAATACTAGTACCTGCCAGACCAATAGATGGCAGCATAATGACTACATTTCGTAGCCGGATGGGGAATGCAGAGGCATATTCTTCAAAATAAAAGAACTACTAGTTTGTTATAATGGCTGAAATGTGCGTATTGTGGTTGCTATTCAGTTAGCAACGTGTTTCTTTATAATGGTGTTTTATATTAATTTGTCATTAAACTGTTGTTGATGAATAACTGATGATTGTATCTGATACTGCTAAAAAGCCACCGCTACCCTAAAAATGCAGTGTCAATATTATGTGAAAAAGAAAAATAGGTTATGTAAAATGACCGTCAAAGAAGGTGAAAGATTCTGCGGTCAGCACATGGCTGTTGACAGCCTTAAGGACTGGAACGACAATGTAAGTTGGTATGCGAGTATCCGGGTTTAAATTCTTCTCTCAGGTCTCTCCAAAGAGTTCATAATTTTGAAGACTCTGGAAAGAAATAGGGTAACCCAGAAACTGTTCCAGGATGCTTAACCCTAACTTTGTATCAAAGTATCTGCGTTAGGAAACGGAAGTGCATACTGAAAATGCGGTACACACTTGCCGAACTGAAAGTACCGGTTTCAGTGACATGTTGTGACCAGTTAGGTTAGATTATCACATGGATTGTGTAAACCATTGCCAATTTGTTGAACGGACTGAAGGTGTAACATAATAAGGTGTATAACTTTGAATATTCGTTGTGACAAAACTAACAGTAGTAGCATACAGCACTGTACTACAGAGTATTAATGTTTAAAATTTTTGTGCCAAACAAAATTTAACATGTGTGTGCCACATATCAGTGCAGTTGTAGATCAAAGTAACATTGTTTATTGACATGGACAAGACATATTGTTCCTGCAGGTTGAACAAAATTGCTCAGCAATATTGTTTTTATACATGTTAATCAAACAAGCACCAGCAAGAAAATCTATCTACAGGTGAAGTAAGTGAATGTGGAGTTTTCACTCTCATGACAGTGTGAGGGGCGTTGCTGGGTGGGCCATACAGATTTCAGCTGCTTCATGAGTTAACTCTGTGTAGGCATTGTCAAGTATGTGTACCATTTGCTTAACATTAAATAGCATGGCATTTCATGTACAGAATTTATTTGTGCAGTCCATTTGGATCTCAGAAGAAACCGTGATTGTTTTGCTAGACTTCATTAATTGGATGATCTTTGTAATGGAAATGCTGTGTTTTCTGGGGCTTAAGAACGAGCTTTTAAAATATGATTTAGCTGAGCTCTGCCTTATAAAGAATTAAAGTCCAGTGATTGACCACTTCAGAGATTATGTTGCAATGACATCCTGTGGCCACCCAGGTCACCCTCTCTAACACCAGTGGTCCTTGACTTTTGGTGTGTGTTAAAGAGAGTATGTACCCATTTCAGTGGAGCTTAAAGAGCTTTGTAGCAAGATAGTTAATGCTGTAGCTCTTTTAGATACTGATTTATTGAACAAAATGTGAATGAATTAAAAAGTATCACTGGAATCCTCAAGTGCAATTTCAATTGGTGGAAAACATATTGGACATTTGTGAAAGAAACTTCAAGTGCTAATTAACTCAGTATAACAAATTGTGTTATGCTGTCATTGTTAGTTTGGTCAAAATTACTATTTTTATTGATATATGTAATGTTATATATAAATGGATCTGAAAAATGAGGATTGAGCTCATTCTGCATAGGTTCCGGTGGTGAGCTTTTGTTTAGTGCATTTGAACCTTCAGATGCTTAAACCAGAGAAGTTACTTTCATATGAACAGGGTTAGCTTAGTAAAGTTACTGGGAATGGGTTCAATACAAGGGGGTATAGGAGCCCAGACTTCCTTTTTTCTCTTCAATGCATGGTACAGACTTTGGGCACAAAGGGCCCACATTCAAGCAGAGGTTACAGTGACAACACAAGTATCATTGCTTAGCAACGGCGAGTAAACAGCCGTTGCTAGGCAAAGCCTACAATAATATGGACAGCGGCGTGTGTTTTCTGTGTGGTCTGCCACCCGTAAGATGAGCACTCCTTCACCAAATACAGCCCTCCTGTATGCCACTTGTGGAAGAAGGTTTTGTGTTTTGGGCTCCATTTTCAGAATTGGCTTTGGAACAAAGCCCAAGTCACTGAACTATTCATTCATCTTGTCTACTATGCACTGTAACCCTGACATCATACCAGAGTCAGGAGAAAGCTGAGGAGAGGTCGCAGTTGTCTGTTTCTGGTACACCATGCATGAAGTATAAGATGATCCCAGCATGCTGTCTATATCATAGCTGTACAGCTTCAGCCAGCTTGGCAGGTCTGTCATATATGTAATGTTGTGTCTGCGATTGAGAGGATCATTGTTGTTGAAGCGATAGATGAAGACATCTGTTGGTATAGTGAGTTGGTTGGCAAGCTCCTCCTAGGCAGGCGTCATCCATTGCCCTACTGCTTGATCATATAATTTCTTGTTGAGGTGTACAAGAGCTGTGTTAGGGTCCAGCGATCCTCCATGGTAGTCAACATGAAGGTAGAAGTCTGGATTTGAATCCTTAGTCACTTTACTAAAAGGTGTATGACAAATTTCTTTTATAATGTTGCCATTGGTATCAAACAATGCCAGTGGTGAACCATGAGGTTCTGATGCCACATAGAACTGCTGTTCAGACGCCTCCACCATGATAAGTACATGATACTCCTAGTACAGTAGTCGAAATGTTCAACCAGTCTGAACATGTGAGATAAGATCAGGAATGCTAGGATTGGCCTAGAAATATTGCATTACCTTGCCGCATTCGTCATGCCAGGATATGAGGCGACCATGATCATAGAAATACCAAGTCTGGAACTTATCACGTTCAAATGCATGGATAAGCTGAGCATGGGAATTGTAACAGTATTTCTGCTCCCCTCTTTGCACCACAAAACCTCGTTCATCATAGCTATTGAACTCTACATGACCATACTGAACTACACGGTTACCACTCTCATACCCCAGGGAGATCTTCTTGCCTTATTCAATAACCTCTGTGACATTACCATTCTCATCATAAACATATTTCCAGTTCTCATTAACTCTCACTTCCATCACATGGCCATCTGCATTATAGGTTACCCGGTCTGTAGAGAATGTTGCACCAATTTTTAGTTTCTGTTGCGTTTGTCATAATCAAGCTCAAGTCTGTACACATCAAATGACTTACTTCCAGCATTCCCAAGTTCTGGTTGTACTTCAGTCTTACAACAGTCCTCACTGTTCCATCCACAAGGATCCTTCAGATCAGATTGAAATCCCAAACAAAGCTAGAACCATCAGGAGATGCAGCAAGAGCTACTGGAGGAAATAATCTCTGTTCAGATGCTTGGCCATTACAGTCAAAACAATCAAGATAGCTCTGATGTTCATCACCCATTGAAGTCAGTATTACTCATGGCTTATGTTTCAGATAGGTATTGGAACCATCTCCTTTTGAAGTATGCCTTCATGGAAGTTGTATCTATGATGAATGACAAGATTCCATCCTCCAACTTCAGAGATGCTCATGTCATGTCCACTGAGCTTTGTGTTTGTACATCCCAAATAATGTCCTTGCAATCATTGTACTCATAGCCAACCTTAACCATAGCAGTTGTTACACCATAAACACGTTGCCTATAAACATTAAGCCTATTCCAGGCATAAGTAAATTTCATGACTGGATCAGCTTCAGAGGTCTTCTCAAAAAGAATTCCTTCCATGATGATTAGAAGATGGTTGAGTTTGAGTGAAGCGATTGTTTCTGGCGTTAACTGAAGCTGGATGGTGGACAGATAGCCTGCTGCACGAGAGCTGTGGTATACAAGATTGAAGCCAGTACCTGGGATCGGCAAGCTCTCTTGCACAACGGCAGCACATATCCTGATCTCTTGAGGAACACTAACGGCATCTACGATCTTTCCTTGGCTGACTTTGGATGTATTGAATCCTCATCAACCCGGCAAAAGGAATCATCTGAGCACCCAAGAGCACCTTCCTTGGTTACAAAGCCTCCACCGAGTGTTCCCAACCACCGGGAGAATGAATAAACTGTCTACAGAACTGCTAACCTCCCAAAACTGTCAGTCAACTCCACCTTTTCCTGAGCATTTTGAACTACTACAGGCAATTTCTGTCACACACGGCAGCACACCAGGCACCACTTCATGACATCATCACCAGACCAAAGTCAAGAGCTCCCATCCCACTACTTGGACACCGGAGCTACACAAGGCCTTCAAAAAGTGCAAGGCAAGTTTGTCACGTGCCACTCTACTGGCACACCTCGACACATTCAGGCCACTTGCACTTGTCACAGATGCCTCCACGTCTGCTGTGGGTGTCGTGCTGCAGCAATGCATCAAGAATGCCTGGCAGCCCCTCACCTACCAAAAGAAAATCAACCCTGAGGTGAAACCAACAGCTGCACCACCTCGACCTTCAACCACTCAGTCGCATAGCACTGGCCATGGAATCACATGCCGCACCACCACCACCCGTCACGTCACACCAACTACATGCTCCAGATGCAACATATGTTTTGCTGCTCCCTTCAGCAGCTAGGCAACCATCTCCATGGGGATGTGAAGTGGGAACTGCCCACATTCAGGCAAATGTTACAGTGACAACGCAAGTATCATTGCTTAGCAAGGCAAAGCCTGCAACAATATGGACAGCGATGTGTTTTCTATGCTGTCCGACACAGTGTTTACAAGAGGAAGATATAATGATATTAGGAGAGCCCTCCTGTGTGGAGGCAGGGTTGAATACCTCCACTGTGGCCCTGTGAGTCATAGAAGGTGACAAAAAGGGAAGTCTCAAATCTGAGACACTAAAATATGGTCGCAAGTCCCAAGGGACTTGGACCCAAGAAAGACCACACTGGCAAGGGCCAGCAGCATGTGCAAAAGACAGACCCCTCCTCTCGTCAGAGTGAGCTCCCCACAAAAATAAGACCGTAACTGTCAAACAGTAATAATTAATATCTGGTCATGTGCCTCAGATGGGGCTCGACACCAAGACTTGCTGACTGACCATCAGTCGCAGTGTAACTTTGACTTTGACTATTAGGAGAGCCAACCTGTGTGTAGACGGGGTTGAATACCTCCACCATGACACTGCAAGTCGTAGAAGGCGACAAAGGGAAGTCTCAAATCTGAGACAGTAAAATATAGTCAGGAGTCCCAAGGGACATGAACCCAAGAAAGACTGCACTTGCAAGGGTCAGCAGCATGTACAAAAGCCAGACCCGTCCTCTTGTCATGACTGACTGACTGACCGACCGACCGTCAGTCACAATGTGACTTTGACTTTGACTATAGAGATATGTGGTGTGGGTGTTGGAAGCAGTAATATTGTTGGTACTATACTATTAATCTTCAGTTCTTCAAACTGAAGTGCGTCTGTGTACTGTGCAACTATAATAAATATTTACGGAGCAATTCAACAAGTGGTTGTCTCTTCATATATTGGCATCACACATTTGTTTAATTTTTTCTGTTATATTACAACCACCTTTCCCAGTACATCAAGCTATGTGTATGTTGTATTTGAAGCAGTTGTTTCAGTTGGGTATACTGAATAGTGCATAGGAATTTTAGTGGAATGAAGTATTTTAAGAAAGTTTTTCTGTATATCAAGATTTCTCTATTGTTTAAAACATGTGTTTTTGTCCTTTTTTGCAGACAGGAGAAATTAAGCATCCAAAACGAGTGGCATGCCCTTACGACAATAAACAGTATGTACCTTTCACGTGAACAGTGTGCTCACTTCTTTCTCTCTTTCTCATATATACACATATATGTGTGTATATATGAAGGGGGACCCAAAAATAACCGGAAACGACCTGTTGCACGCGCATGCTTTGTAGTTACGAGTTGTGCTGCTACGTGGTGTTAGCTGGGGGTCTCCCGCGACTGTTAGTGAGCTGGCGTCAGTTTGAGTTAAGTGGTTTGTCTGTGGTGCTCTGTTGTGCGCGTTCCTGTTTCAACCCTTTGGCGATTAGTGAGATGGCCGACCAGAAGGAACAAAGAGTGTGCGTGAAATTTTGCTTTCTGTTAGGGAAAACTGCACTTCACTCTTCAAGTCGCGACAAACATTCACGCGGTTTTCTCTTTGATCATCTCCGAGCAAGCGAGGAACAAATTTTGCAGACACCCGTCTCATGTGCAAACCTTCGGTTAAAATTCACTGGACCGTGAGATGTTCGTTTCCTCAGAAAGTTGGTCAATGGTCTTTCGACGATCTTCATCAATTTCACGCACACTCTTTGTTCCTTCTGGTCGGCCATCTCACTAATCGCCAAAGGGTTGAAACAGGAACGCACACAACAGAGCACCACAGACAAACCACTTAACTCAGACTGACGCCAGCTCACTAACAGTCGCGGGAGACCCCCAGCTAACACCACCTAGCAGCACAACTCGTAACTACAAAGCATGCGCGCGCAACAGGTCGTTTCCGGTTATTTTTGGGTCCCCCCTCGTATATCTTGAAAGAATGTAAGGAATGTATTTTATCATTAGTCCACTTTATATAATGCACAACTCAAACTATGACAGTCTGAAAATTACAGTATTTAGATATTTAATATTTTCATCTTTTAAAGCTGAAAGTGTTGTCGCCATCTCAGTACATTATTTTGTGTGCTTGAGAATGCACCATTCCTTGTCTCTCTGAAGGTAGATGAAATACACCATGTTGTACAATTGTGTGAGCATCTAAATAAGTGTAAAACAGCTGTTAGAATGATTCTTATAAATATATTGTGACATTTAAAGTGCTACTGCTAGACTTAGGAGGGTATTATACGATGGGGTACCCAAAAAAAACCGAACTAATTTTTTTGTGGCCAGAGCTTTTGTAGTACCGCGTTTTGCCGCTATGAGCGCATAGAGCTAACATTCCTGAGTCGATAAGCCGACTACCGTTGCTTCAGAAGGTAAGGACTAGTTTCGGCAGAGTTTATAGTGACAACTGTTTTGTGTGATCGTCGTTTTTGCAATGGCTGATTTTCGTGAACAGCGTGCGGCGGTGAAATTCTGCTTTTTGCTCGGGAAAAGTGGAACAGAAACTCTTGAAATGTTAAAAACGGCGTACAAGGACGATGCTATGGGGAAAACTCAAGTGTTTGAGTGGTTTTCCCGTTTCAAAAATGGTGAAATGTCAATTGATGACAAACCTCGTTCTGGTCGTCCTTCCACGGCCCGAACACATGAAAATGTTGAAAAAATTCGTGAAATCATCAAGGAAGATCAACGACGGACCATAGAAGAAATTGTGAAGCTGTTGGGAGTGACTTGCTCACACAGCCCTGTCTGTATGACAGTTCTTGACCAAAAATGGTATGACCCCTGTTCCTCACCCTCCATACTCACCCGACCTTGCCCCGTGCGACTTTTTTTTGTTTCCTCGAATGAAAAGAGACATGAAAGGAAAAAACGACGGAGGCGCTGTCAAGCATCTCAAAAGATGAATTTAGACAATGTTTTGAAAAATGGAATAAAAGACTAGACAAGTGTATTAGTGTAAGTGGAGAGTACTTTGAAGGGGATTGAAGGTTTGTGCTTAAAATTTGAATAAATAAGTTTAAAAAAAATAAGTTCGATTTCTTTTGGGTACCCCCTCGTAAATGCCCTCACTATTAGATAGATAGGTTTCTGCAGTATGTCATCATTCTTATACAGAATTTCATTTGGAATAAGTGGTAAGTCTCCTCTATTAGTATTTTGGTGTAATACATATGAAGTCATACCACATGTTTTAGTTGAATTTTTTTTTCTAGAAGCAATATAACAGACAGAAAGAAAATAGTGTTCTGCAGCCTATCCATCCCTTTCATTATTAACAGAAGTATATAGTAACCAAATTCTAAAGGTATAGACTATTATCCTTACACATTTCAGATATATTTCTTTACCTTCAAAACCAATATTTTATAAGACTAGGCTTTGGGTGTAGACTTTACTAAAACAGCGTGAAAGTTACTGCAGTGCTTTGCGTTTTGGGGGGCACAGTTGTCCCATGTCATGCAGTGAGATCTGCAACTTGGAGTTATTCCCTTTTATAACAGTGAAAAGGTTACAGATATAAAGAGTAAAGAGAGAAATTGTGTGTAGCAACACTTGTGATTCACGAGTCATCATGTTATGTAGAAGAAATTTTCTCCTGATAAGATGATTATAAGATACCCCGGTCTGTCAGCTTCAAGAAACTGAGACAAACCTATTCATTTTGGCCATACATTTTGAACATATCTTGTATTTTTATTTTCATGTCCATAGATCCTTACTGGCTACCAAAGCCAACGGATATAGAACCTGTCACAATTTACATGTATTATTTATGAGAACAGAAAGTAGTCCTCTTACAGCCACATTCATAAAAGTAACCATAATTATACAATTCAATAATTTAACCAACATGTACAATTCATCATCTAGACATTAATACCTTATTAAGCACATTCCTTAAAAATATACATATAAATATCAGTTGAAAGTCTTTTATATAATATACCATAAAACGGCATTACAAAATTTTAATTCATATTATATTTGAAATACTCATCCAACATATAGAATGAATGGGAGTACAAGACATTTTTCAAGGCCAATTTAAATTGTTTTGTATTATGGGACACATCTTTTATTGCAACAGGTAAGCTGTTAAACACTTTAATCCCAGCATAATAAGTTCCCTTCTGAAAAACTGACAGATGAGATGATGCAAATCAGATTTGGTCCTAGTATTAATATTGTGTACCTCAGAATTTACTTTAAATGGTGTCTTTTATAAGTGAATATATATACTGAGATTTTAGTGGTAGTATTTTGAGTTCTCTAAAATATTTTCTGCATGAGTCCTACCCCTAATCCCCATAATAATTCTAATAGCTTTTTTGTAGTCTAAAAATTATGTTGCTATAATGAGAATTTCCCCAAAATATTAGTCCATAAGTCATAATTGAGTGAAAATAACATCTTCAGTGATTCCCGGGACAAGAAAGGATTAATTGTGAACATGTTCACTAGTCATTGCTTGGTATCAGCTTCTAACAGTGGAGATTCCTCTACTTCCATTCTCACAACTAATAGGTCAGGGTGTGTAGATGGCTGCTGGCCTTTTCCAGCACATTCAGCCTTAGTGTCAGGTCCCGTTGGGATCCATGGCCATATTTTTGTTTACTCCAGTCTTTTACATATTTTGAAGTGAGGCCTCTTTTTATGAGAGGAGTGGTCTGACTGCTACTGGTCAGTCCCCTTCTGCTGGGGGTCTCACAGCATGAGTCTCCCAGCCAACCACTGACTGTGACTATATATTCTCGGCATGGACCGAATAGAATACACCACTCTGAACAGTTCCTGTATTATTATGCACATATCAGTTCCTGTGGGTGTGTGTTTACTGAGATCTTACCTAGCAATGGACATCACTCCCTCCCCCCAATTACTTCAGCCCTCAGGCATCATGTCACAATATTTAGTAATAATTATGTACACTAAGTATCTCTTGCCGGTCACAGTAGCCGAGTGGTCTAAGTCATGCACTGTTTTCGCTCGGAAGCCGGGATTGTGGGTTCGAATCCCACTCAGGACATGGATGTTTGTGTACAGGTAGAGGCCTTGCGACGGGCTGATCACCCGCCCAAGGAGCCCTACCGAATGTCTAAGATCTAGTAAACCGAAGTGAAACGGAGAGTTTCCTGGAGGTAGGCCTAGGCCCAATTGAGGGCAGTAGTGCCAAAGGGGAGGGGAAAAAAAGTATCTCTTGCTTTTTGTAACATTAAACAATACCAGATGTCACACAGCTTGGAATATGGTAAACTCCTGGTTATCCAGTATCCAAATATTTGAAATTCTCATGTAACCAGCAAGAATTGCAAAGAAAATTTGGCCATTTTTATAAAAGTTCTTATAAAAACGAAGTTGCAACACACTTACGTTCATCCATCACACATTATTTGTCCCTGCCACCACTAGCAGCTCTGAATGTCATCCTCCCTCTCACAAATGGCACTAGAGTAGAGGCTAGTTTAATTCATGATTGCATTACAGTATGTCTGAAATCTTTCAACCAGCAATCCTCCATGTTGCCTAGGAAGACTCCTATGCAGGAACTGAAGCATGATTGTGGTTCTGAATTTTTGCTGGGTTTCTTGAAAATATTTTTCTCATGCATCTAGTAGATTCATGTAACCACAGAGCCCATTACCTATACATGCTGGATAGTCAGGGGTTTGCAGTATATTACTGGCAACTGGAAAACAGTGAAGTGGTCCTACCAAATGCCATTGCAATCTCATCTCATTTATTTACATATAGGATAAGGAATTAGTCATTGATAGTACAAATAACACTACATAAAAATAACAATATAAGATTCATTACATTATTCAATACCATAATAGACCATAGTTAATTATTGGAGTCAAATTTACAATCAAAGTATTCTTCCAAGGAATAAAACGAGTTCATCAACAAAAATCTTCTTAAAACAATTTTAAAATGTTTAACATCTTGACCCAAGTTCCTTATATTAGGAGGAAGCCAATTAAAAACCTTAATTCCTTGGTAGTACACTGCTTTCTGAAATATAGTCAACTTATATATAGGATAATGGAATTTATTATTATATCTTGTATTCCTATTATATAACTCAGAATTTAACTTAAATTTATCTTTATTATTAACCACGAACATTGCAAGAGAAAGTATATACTGAGATTGAAGGGTTAAAATTTCCAGTTCCCTGAACAATTCCCTACATGAATCTCTGTTCCCAGAGTTCAATATAATTCTGTTCACCCTTTTTTGCAACCTAAAGATATGTATACTATAAGGGGAATTTCCCAAAAAAACCAAACCATAGGTCATAATTGAATGGAAGTAAGAAAAGTAAATCATTCTTAATGTACCCTTATGTTGTACTGTAACAAATAATGTGATACATTGAAATTACTGATCTTATATCATAAAAATATTTCTCCACAAAGAAGAATGCCGTATTCTGGGATGTGATGACATTCTACATGGCACCACATCCCAGAAGATGGCATTCTTCATAGTCACTGCTGTGAAAACCTCAAATCTTACAAATTTCTCCACAGTTCTTGCTATGTAAAGAACCTGAAGAAACATACAGCTGCCTGCAATTCAAGACCAAGAGAGAATCCTCCATTCATCATTTCTGGGATCAACTGTGGTGATCAGAACGTTAAAAGAAATTGTCGGAAATTTGCTGACTTAAGCACAGATGAGTTGACACTTCTGATGCAAAAAATTGAATCTGTGTATAACAGTAAGTCACTATTACTGTATAACTCAACTGTGGGCCCTACAGAACTTCAATAAGTTTCCGCCTTCTGTACTGCTATTTACCTTTGAAACAGAGACATGGAAATAAGTGGATATTTTAAGTGCTGTATAAAATTGATGGTGGCTCTAATAGGATCGCTTTATAATTTTGTTTGGGTAGTTTAACCCATTATATTCTCTGTTGTTTAATTGCTGCCTAAGGCTTAAATATGTGGGAGTTTGTAATAAAGAGAATGTGACATTACCATCTGAATGTAATATTATGTCAGTGCAAAGTAATTTTCTTCTCTCTTCATTTCTGTGAAACAGGTCTACATCCAAATTGTTTCAGTAATTAAAAACAAAGATTTTTTTTTTGTGTACTTTACCAAGGATGACAACCTTACTGCCATCTTTGAGCCGATTGTCTAGATAATGTGGTGCCCTCAACATCTCACAACCCTATGGGCCTTCACGGCCTGGTACAGGGATGGCTTTACTTTTTTTTTTTAATTCTAACTACAAGGAAATATTAAAAATATTATTTTTGACAGAGGGATATTCCTAGAATCTACTTAGTAGACGATGGGAACGGTAACCTTGCATTCCGGCAGTATTTTTGATTTGGTGGAAGAGCAGATTCCATGAGGCATTAGACGTGCAAGGGGTTGATGATGTAAGGCTGACTGAAACACATACACCTGAGCCCAGGGATATGAATGTATAAATGTATGAGGGGTGGGCCTTCTCAGCTCTTGCACCATGACCTATAGTGATCTATTGTGCTTAGCCCAGGGATATACTACCACTTTATTAACAAGGGGCTCACACCGGCAACCAGCATTTTCTTTTTCATTTTTAAATAATTTTAAATAAAGTAAAACAATACATACATGAAGATACTGTAGTGTTCTGACGATGGTGTATAACACACAGAGATACTAGGTTTTTGGACTTTGTCCATCATCCGGATTAAAAAAAAACTCAACTTTTCGGAAACTGGATCTGTTTCCGTCATCAGGTGAGGGAAGACACCTACTCTCTTGGGTCCCTTTAGAAAGAGCTAACCTCAATCACTAGATACATACATGCATGCATATTATTTAAATATATAAAATTACATAGAACTGCACTATGAGTGTTTATTTAGTATTTAGCTAAAATAACAAAGGGCTCACACAAGCCCCTTGGAGCACAAACCTGTCTAATCCATTAGTACCTGAGTAATTTCTTTAATATGTTTAGATTGCTGTTGATCAAAGTAAATTCCTTAAAGCAGGAAAGTTCTTGAGTAGTTGAGTGGCTGTCATCTCCAAGGAGTTGATTAGTTGAAATTAAAGGTAAATAACAGAAATGTCTGTTGCTGAAAAAAATTGTTTTATTTTCATCCCAAAAGTAATAGTGTAAATTTGACAAAATTAATGTAAAATTGGTAAACATTCAGTTTTGGATGTAAGTACAGAGGCAGCTGTGGTTAGTCTCTGTCATCCAAAAGCACAATTATTTCATGATAAAATAATATTTCATGTGTGAACTTTATGTAGGGGACTTAATATTAAGTATTACAGTCTGTAACTGTAATATGAAAATTGCTTTACTGCCCATTTCTTGCTTCCAGTTTTTTAATGTTGGCAAAAACTGAATGTGGTTAGCATATTTTAGGAAGGACCACCAATATTAAGTTTTATTGTCTGCTTATAGAGGAGTTTCTTTTCTTCAAACTTTATGCTCAAACTGAAAATACACAATGTTTTCAAGTACAGTAATTCAGATTTCAAACTGTTTACATAACTTATCCCCATAAAATATATGCAGTATGGATTTTTTACTTAATGCAGGTTTGTGAGAATTTTAATATCATTTTAATTTATCACCAAATTTCTTGTGAAGCTGAGAAATATTATTATTTATCTTGTCAAAAGTAATTAAAATAAATATTAGTCATGCAATAATTATGATTCATTGACTGAATCACTTATCATTTACTTGTTGCAGGTCACATACCGACAGTTGAGAGAGAGATCTTGAAGCATGCAGTACTGTCAGAGGAATTAAACAATTCCAGTTATGGTCCAAATAAAATGAAACATTTGCTTCAAAACTCGTCATTATTGGGACATGCAAAAAAATCTGGTCTTCTGCAAGGGAATACAGTGTTCATTGAGTTTGGTGCTGGAAGGGGTATGTATGTGACATGAAGTCAGAAACAGCAGTGGACTGATTATATGTTCAGGCTCTGAAATAGGGTGCTGTTGTTTTCAGACTCTTGTCTAGAAGCATCTCTGCCAGTGAATTTCTTGAACAGTATCTGAAGGTCAAGAAGCTCAGTTAAGTTTTCTTTTAAACTCATATCAAATACATTAAATGATCTGTGATAGTATTCCAGTTTCTGGTTTTGTGTCACGATATATTCAGCAAATTGTTTCTCACTCCTCATTCAAAGTTTGTTAATATATCCTTGCAGGTCAACTAAGTTATTATGTTGCACAGATAATGCAGGAAGATGATAATTGTCTGTTACTTCTGATTGATCGTGCAAGTCAGCGCCACAAATTTGATAACAAACTCAAGGAATCTCCTATGCCCTACAAACGTATTCGCGCAGACATAGCAGATCTTTGTCTGGAATTTATGCCAGTCTTACACCTGTACAAGAGGATTGTGTCCCTTGGGAAGCATCTCTGTGGATCAGCTACAGGTGAGGCAAAGATTTGTGGATATACAGTTAGAAACTCAAAACCAACTGCTGGTCAAAGCAACAAATATGATGACAAACTTGAGGAGTCTCCAGCATCTTAGAAATGCATTTGTGCAGACGTTATAGGTCTTTATCTGGAATTTATTCCAGTCATACACCTATACAAGAGGATTGTGTCACTGGTAAAAATCCTTGTGAATTAACTATAGGTGAGGCAAAGATTTGCGGATGTACAATCAAAAGCTCAAAACTTTACTTCTCTGTTAGTTCAAACCATTTAAAATTTCTATTCTTGGTCCAGTTTTCATTCACCTATATCATTACATAGTAGATGGCTTATCTTAACTACTGGTGTGACTGAAATATGTGGTGTAATCATTAGAAATCCTTCTCTAGCTCTAGCAAGTCCCTACATTGGATCTCAGCCAAGTCACCAGCTATCCTGACTGAAACTTTCATTTCTTTCCTCTGTCCCTCCAGACATGTTCTCCTTAGGAGAGCTGGTATCATGAAATACAGAACTACTGACCTAAAAAGAAATATTTGGATCACCACATGAAGAAACAGGCATAAACTACCAGTTGTAAAAACACAGATCTCTTTGAACTATGGATCACATTACTGCTGGTTTCGCATGTCAGTCAAAAGAAAATCCTAACGCAGAAGACACAGCTAAATGGCTTGGCTAATATACAGACAGCTTATACCTCATGCAGGAAGCTCCTCAAAACCTTGCTGATACCATAACAGTATCATAAGCTACAAGAAACAACAATATGGTCAGTGGATGCAACCACGAAGGCCTATCCCACGAAGAAATACATAACTGAAATGTACCAAGGCCCAGGACCGAAAAGTGGTTTGGGGTAGAAAAAAATTTAATCAATACACACACCAAATAAATATAATAATATAATTGATCGAGTGAAAGAAAAATAGAGGCTGTCTCAGATGAGGACAAAACAACTTAAAACAGTGCACCAACTCCACCGTTAATTTAGCAAACCTGAAAATGTTCAAGAGATAATTTGGAATGAAACGAGCACCACTCTCTTCCACGGCGTGCAGCAGAATCCCCTTTCAGTTTCCAGACGAACCGGCTAGTCCCTGATGAAAGGGTGAAGGGCGCAAGCGTAGGGCAGGAGGAGAGGGGGAAAAGGAATGAAGGGGGGTTCTAGTTAAGGGACATGTCAGTAGTTTCTGATGTTACAAAACACAAAACACTTTGCCATATATCAAAATTAAGGTTTACCTTATTACACACACACACACACACACACACATATGGAAAACACCCTTTTGCACCGGAGGAATTAGCTAGACAAAATACCAAACTCAGTTCATGCATGCTGCAAGAATCAACAGAACACAAACTATGTGTTGGTATGTCTTACTCGTGATGCTTCTGACCAGCAGAGGGAGCAACTTCAACTTGCATTCATCCCAAGGCAGCCAAACCCAGAAGCAGGAAACTGGACACTGATTGGAAGAGGCAGGTCCCACCATGTTACATGACCGAAACATAAGCAAGAGGGAGGGAATTGGAATCAAAGATGGATGGATGGCGTGGAACAGAACTCGAGAGGTGGAAACCCTGATCCAGAACCGGAGCCAGAAGTGGACAAGTGGCTCAGATGAAGGACGAACCTAATAGGTTATCATGTATAAACTTTTAAATAAATTCTATAAATATTTGCAAGCATTTGATATGTTTACTGACATAGGGTCTATTGAAATTTCATTGTGCAATTGTTAGAAGCCAGCTTCATCAGAAGTAAGTTACCTGAACAAGAGTGCAAAGATATAATCCACAACAGGGTAACTGTCCACAAGTCTTCCTTGCATCTTTGTGCTCTGAGTGCTCATAGCTGTTACAGATATAACATCGAAGGTACACACTGTCACCATGATTTTAATTGTTATTTTTGAAACAATGTTTAATACAGAATTTGTGGGCATGTGTATGACCTATGCCAGTATAAGATTTTAGGCAGCCAGCATTTTTGGTCTTACATTTTGCCCCCTCCCACACACACACACACACACACACACCAAGAAAAACGAAAAAGGTTTTGTATTTTTTTAAAGATACTATCACGTGTTACTGACTAGACACGGAGTTTGAGTTAATAATTAGATCTATTGGACACTTATAACTTATTACAAGTGATTGGAACAGCCTCACTATTTCACACACTCTGTAAATCACTACAGCGACAGCACACACAAAGAGTTCTGTTTGTCATTCTGTCATCACTAATCATTGGTAGGTGTCAACTGCTAACAGTGGAGATTCCTCATGGCCAACCATGAACTTCCACTGCACACTTCCAACTCTCAACACCTAACCACTGACTAACTTAGTTGGTTGGTCAGTTAAATTGCTGCTGGCTAGCACAGTCATTCCTGGCTTCAGTCTCCTTGACATCCACAGCCAAGATTTTCATTATGTCTAGGCATGTATGTGTTTCAAAATGGGGCCTCCTCTTTGACAAAGTGAGGGGTCACTCATTTGTTGTAGATGCTATATTTGTTTGTTATAAGGCATTCTCCGAACATAAACTCTCCCTGAAATAGGGAACAACATGAAGGACAACTCATCTTATCATATCTCGCATTTCCAGTTGTCTGCTATCCAAGTATTACAGTCATGACATCAGCATTCATACATCTGAGCATTACTTTCAGTAATCAGAGGTTTAGCAGTTTTCAGGCACGTCATAGATGTTGGATTTATGAAGCTGACTTTGGACAGTTTTTGTGGAAAGAGGGTCTTCAAGATGAATATTCAGTTCTGCTGTCACCTGTGCTGCAGTATTGTATGATTTTTTTAAATGGTCCTCAATGAATGACAGTCTCTGTTAGTGCTGAATTTCACCCACTGTTCCTCTTCACAGATGTTGTCTTCCCATTATTCATGTATGCCAACATAGCCGTAGAAACTGTCGCTCTTGTTACACCTGATAATGCGGCAGTTTTTGTCACAGATGGTCCAGCCAAATGCACACCAATGATCTGTTCCCTTTCAAAGTCAGGCAAGTCTTCCATTTCTCAATTCGTTCACATGGACTGTCATTCGACCTATCACTAATGCACCGACACAAGCAATACAGAGCATAAACAAGTGGAAGAAGAACATTCAGTGCTTGCCAACTGAAGTTCTTTCAATGTATCCAACACAAATTCTGTTCCTCAATTTCTTAGTATTTTCATTATTTTGCCCACCCCTTTTTATATGTGACTGTACTTACTTTTTTTAATTGCTAGTGGGGTGGGACTAAGTCCCTTGTACTGCGGCCACTTCTGGCCTATTGTACCAGCCCCAGATGATAGGTGAGGGTGATTGTGGAGCAATTGGTGGAATGAAGATTGGCAGGGGAACTGAAGTACTCGAAGAAAACCTACCCCAGCGCCACTTTGTCCACCACAAATCCCACTTGACCAGACTCAGGATCGAATCCAGGCCGCTGCGGTGGGAAGCCAGTGGCTAACCGCTTGAGCTATGCATCCCATCCTATCTCTCTAAGATGTATTTTAATATTGTCCACCCACCTATGCCTTGGTCTTCCCAGTGGTCTCTTTCCTTCTGGCTTTCCCACCAAAATCCTATATGCATTCCTCTTCTCCCCCATTCGTTATATGTAACTGTAACAGATAAAAAATTAATATTGTGGGAAATATTTATGTCACTATTTCAGTACAAAGTGTATACTTAAATTACATCCAGCTACACCATTTCCTGAGCATTGTACTAATATATCAGGCTCTTCCAGATCTTGCACTGCGGTCCATGATTGGTGGTGACAGAATGGAAGAGGAGAGAGGCGTTTGTGCTGCTGGGATTCTCATGGCAATGTGTTGTCATCATCGCTGTGATTGGGGTTCCTATACTGGCAAAGATTTTATGGTGGTATGTACGCTACTGTGAAGAACGGGATATGCAATAGTATAATTGGTTGAAGCACTATGCTGCAAGCTGGAATGTCGTGGGTTCAATTCCTGACGAGGTCATTGGATTTTTTTCAATTGATCTAACCCTTCCAGCCTCACTATGGCCCTGAGGTTGACTCAATCTCTAACAGAAATGAGTACCATGAATCTTCCTGTGGGTAAAGGAGTACCGGCATGTAAGGCTGACAACCTCGCTGCCATCTGTGAGCTGATTGTCTAGAGCAGGCATGTCCAACTGAGCCATGCGTCTTACTTAGGCTCCGTTCAGCGGCTTCTCTTCCTACCCCCCCCCTCTTTTTTTTCTCCTCCTTGTGTCTAGAAAGTTCTTCCGTACTGCCCTATCACGTGATCCCCCCCCCCTCCAACTGGTTCTGGTTTCATGGTAACTAGTAGGGTAGAGGGAGACGGACACTCTAGGACGAGACGTCGGGGAAGGAGGTAACGAGCAAAATTCTTTTTTTGGGCGTGGCCAGTCTAAATTCGGTTTGGTTCCTTTTTTTTCCGTGAAGGTTCTCAAAAAGGAATAGTCATATTGGCGGTCTGAAGATATATATATATATATATATATATATAT